ATTTATATATTCATATATCTATCTATATATATATAGATTCATTCCTATATATATCTATATATTTTTTCCTTTTATATATATTGATAAATACGCATATAAATATATATATATAGCTTCCTACGCATATATATATATAGGATTTGGGGAGCTCATCTATCAAAAAAAATTAAGGAAGATATTGCTTGCGATCTGAGATTTGGGGAATTCATTTGATAAAAGAATTTAAGAAGGATATTATTTGCGATTTGGGAATTAATTTATCAGAAAAGATTGAGGAGATCCCTATTTGCGATCTGGGATTTGGGCAATTCATTTGATAGAAAAAATTTAGGACGATTTTATTTGGGATTTGGAGAATTCATTCATCTAATGATTTAATAGGAATATTGCTTGCGATTTGGGATTTGAAGAATTCATTTGTCTAGCAGCTAAATGGGGATATTGCTTACGATTTGGGATTTGGAGAGTTCAATTATCTGAAAATTGAAGAAAGTTATTGCTCGTAATTTGGACCTTGGGGAGCTCGTCTATCCAAAAATCTAAGGAGAGCAATATTTGCCATTTGGGATTTGCGGAGCTCATTTGACTAAAAATTCAAGAGGGATTCTATTTATGATCTGGGATTTGGAGAGCTCATTTATCCAAAATTCTTAAATAGAATATTATTTATGATTTACGATTTGAGAAGCTCATTTTCAGAATTTTGGCATATTTACGATCTCCTATATGGGATCTCTTCTAAATCTCTAATAGAGATATATAAAAATCTTTATATAGGAGATCCAAAAGCCTTTATTTTGGATATAAATGAATAAGCGCATATATATACGTAGATATAATTTCTATATCTTCATTTATCTATATTGAAAAATCTACCGAATTCTCGGGATCCTCTATACGAGAATGCGATTTTCATCAAAATTTTGAAGACGCTCCGAACGGGAGCGCGATTTTGAAAGAAAGAGCAATGAAATTTCGAAGATGCTCGATACGAGAACGCGATTATCATTAAAATCTTCAGCACGCTCCGCACGAGAACGTGATTTCCGCACGAGAGCGTAATTTTCTTCAGAATTTCAAGACGCCCCGCAGAAGAGCGCAATTTTCTTCAAAATAAAGCGATTTTAAATAGAATATATTAATATAGAATTAATATAAGATCTATATCATAAATAATCAAATTTTGAATGACGATATCAACGAATCCTATTTCAAAGCCTCTATATCATTCTTCAAGAATGATCAAATTTTCTGAATGTTCCATATGAGAAAAATATTCTCATCGAATTTGATGAAGCTAAATAATCTATCGAATGAGAATGCGATTTTTCAAGATATAAATATCATCAATATCAAAATGAATTTTTAAAGATATCTCGTATAGAAGCGATATTTTCGAATATCAAAACGCTTCTTTTTTCTCTATTCATAATAGACGAAAATGAATATCAATTTTTGAAGATTCCTCGAGCGAGAACGCGATTTTGAACGAATAGAAGCGTATCTTAAATATTTGCGCGACAGAAAAATATGTAATTCGAATCCAATCTTGAATATCATAAATGAGAAAAATATAGTTCTCAATAAAATATTTTAGAATCGCGCGAATCCCTCCAATTCTCGAATATATTGACGAAAATCCTAGGATTTTCGAAATTGGCCAGCCATATGAAAAATGAGACCAAGCCCAAAAATGGAAGCCCCGGCCCAGATCCTTTTATAGAGATATCTTATATTGGAGCGATAATCTTATTCTGAATTTGAGAATCTCCGTAACGCCTGCATCCGCAAAGGGAGGGCAAAGCCTCAAACCGCATCCACAGAGAGGTCGCCGCCAACCACGCCCGCAGAGGAAGGGAGGGCTCACCCCAACCCCCTAACCACAGCCACCCACCCGCGGGGGAGTGAAGAGGAGCCTAGACCATGGGGCAGGGAGGGCCAGCAAGCGTAACTGTATATGTGTATATGAATTCCAAACCCTGGGTCCACGGGCGCCGCCATAATTTCCCTGGTATAGCCGAGGTCTTACACGCAAACATGCGTTTTTTGCAAGAGAGGTTTCAGTGACCCAGAATTTGCTTCTGCCCCTGCGGGTCTCAAATAGGGAGTTTATCCCAATACACACGCTTTAAAAGCTGGCTGAGCTGCTCAGCCTGCCCGAAGATGCGGATTATCCATATCTGGGACTGCAAGGTGTCACTGTCAGCTCGACATACACGGGAAAATTGTCATTTCATCTCGTGTCATTTGCTGAGCAAAGCCCCTTGGCTGTGGACTCGACACCCGGCTTAGCTGAGCACTGCTCAAGTTGCTTCATGACTATCAAAACTTGCTAAACCAAGCTTCCTACTTGGATGCCTCCTGCTACGGAATCGACCATGAATACAGACATGTAACCTTGTCAATCTGTGCTGAGCTCAGGCTGCAATCAAGCTGTAAGTGCTGAAATGAACAAGTCCGCAATAGTTACTTGAGTGCCTTGCATTTTAAGTTGACATCCAAGCACGAGGCTGTTTAGCAGGCGCTTGTCGGCGTAAAACTAATTGCTAGCATTAATGACTCTATGTTGACACAGATTTGACGGCGGTCACCAGCCAGACTGGATCGCCATGGCGTGGGCTAATGTCCTCAGCTCAAGGACAGCAGCAACAACTTCTGGCGTCACAATGCTTTTCAAAAGTTGTTTTATTGCAAGCCAAAGAACGACGGTCGCGAGCTTTTCCCAGCCGTCTTTAGGCCCATGCTGGAAGTAACGGCCTAGGCGATGCGGGTAATGAATTACTATCGGAGGCTTTTGTCCCCTGACCCAGGGGTTACTCCAGACACCCCAGACATGTAATCATTACATAGGTTGTATGCAATTTGTGGCTGGGCATTATAACGAAACTGCCACAATGTTAGTTATTGCATTTAGTGCGGAGAAGAAGCTCATCAGACAAAGATGTGTAGCTTAGAAATAGCTCCAGGCAATTTTTGGAAATGCTGGCTTGCTTCAGGCCCTCACTGACCAGGTGCGCGTGCCCTTCACCATCGTCAGGCTCTGCCGCCCAAACTTGCACAGCCTTGCAGATTTAGCACGAACTTGGATACCGTTTCCGAGCCCCGGACCCTGACTGCAGCTCTTCCCACAACTGATCATCTGCCGTTGAGTACTGATTTGTCAGCTACCATGACCATGGGCTGATTCAAGTCGAACAAGCTTTGCACTGGGCCTGCAGCCACTATTCATCGTGGCAATCAGCCACTCATGAGCACATCACTTTGCTGGTTTTCGCACATTCCCTTTGGCCAAAAGGCCGCAAGGAGTGCTGAAAAATCGAACAACACGAATTGGATGCGCAGTACCTAAGCACCAAATGATGGATTGGAAAATGCAGAGCCGACAGGAAGTGGTCTCCCATGAGTGTTGGTTTTAATTTTCTTTAAATTCTATCACAGAAACCACACCTTCTGGGAAGGGCTTTCGCGAGTGGCGCTTGTAGCCTTTTTTACTTCCACATTCCGCGGCTGCTTCCGCGAAGGTTTTTCGGTTGGATTTCGGGATTTGCTTCCGCGAGAGGGCTTCGAAGCCTACGGCAAAGGTTCCTGCCCCATGCTCTTTTCGGTTGATTCCTCCCTCTTAATTAGAGCAGCAACTTGCATCATCAGCACGGATTACATGATACATGGAGTATGCATACAAAAGATCCCAGCTGAAGGACGACGTAGCTTCTTGAAACGCAGCAACACATATGCCAAGTTGTTCATCAGGATCAAGTTGGGGTTTAGTTGCTAGAAACGGCCACAGTGACAGCGAGTCATTTCCATAAGAGTGAAATTTCGATTTGGCAGCTACCTGCAGCCACACTAACAGCAACTCACTGGGCTTTTCCATACAAGTAAAGAAAGAACTTCGTGAGCAAAGGTATGGGTATGGATCCAGTGCTCCGTTGCGGGCGTCCGCGGAGCTTCAGCGGACCTTGTGCGGAGCTTCCGCAAACGTCCTGCACCCGGAGATGTTTTCGGATAACTTGCCTGAATGATCTCAAGACGACATGCTCCTGAAAGCATACTAGTGGCTTCGTTCGGGGCTTCAAGGTTATGGTTAAGCCACAGCATTTAACTCTAGGACTTAAGGTTGGGATGACATAGCTGGTTCAACTTACATGTTGAATCACGTTGAGAGCCAGGTTTTCTGAAAACATGAGCCCATTCTGTGAAGAAACGCTTCCGCAGGGCTTCCGCGTCCTTCTGCGCGCATGGGAAAACCTTGTTTTCAGACCAGGATTTGCTGAGTTATTGCGTTGCGCACTTATAATTCATCTACCAAAAAAAACCGCTGCTCCCATGGACTGTGGCTGATGATGCGGAGGAGAAAGGAATGGCAAGGAGAAGGGAGGAGCAATCGGGAGAGATGGATGGCAAACTGGACTTCGGTCACGTAGATAAGTTTCCCGACAAAGGTTCTACGACCTGATCGACAGAACTCGAAGTGCAAGTACATCCAGCCTTTTCAATGAAAGCACGGTGCGAGAATGCCACCTTGGCTTTGCCGCAAGGGTACGGTCACACAACCGCACTTGTTAGAAGCAACTAGCCTGTACCTTAGCCAGTACTAGCAATACCAGCAGTCCGCACAAAAAGCTTTGCCCTTCTGGCCGGGCCACCACAGCCAACCCGCCGGGCTTCAGCACACGGTGCATCTCTGAAAAGACGGCGCGTGGATCCGTCAAATACTGGACCTGATGGGAGGCCCAGCTGAAGCTACACCCAAAAGGTCAACTGCTTTACGAGCTGGTGCCGAGGCACGCTGAGTGCCAGTGTGATAACATCAAAGCTGTCAGCATCCCAGGGCAGTGATGCATTGGAGTTGAGGTCCTTGCATGAATGAAGTGCAAAGCCTCACTTGCAAGGAAGACAGCTTGTTGCAACGTCGGCTATGAAAGAGATTATGCCTGAAACCTTGCGTGAAAGCTCACTATCTTGAGCACTTCCCGTTGCTGAAAACACGAGTCCTGCACATGACGCTCGGTTGCCTGAACAGGATGGGCGATGGGAGCAACCTCTCCCTATGTTCAATACTGGTCCCGCTTCTTGTTGCAGAGATGAGTAAACACTCACAAATGAAATCACTCCGAGCAGGAAATGCTCACCCAGCCTGCAAATTTGCCTCCAACTCTGCTGCATTCAGTCCGTGTACCGCGACTCTCGACGCAGCTCCTGATAAGTTCCAAGCTGGAGAAGGGAAGCTCACCCAGAAGATTTCCCGGTTGCTTTGCAGCATTGAAGGCTGACCATGGTGCAAGTGCACTTTACCTTGCGGACAAGTTGCGCAAAGCCTCCTGAGGATAGTGCGAGTTCCAGCTCGAGCACCTGCACTTGCTGCCCCACACCGGTGACCCAAAGGCACCAATCAGTCAACAAACAGCTCCCATGACCGGGGCCGAGACAAATCCAGCACAGCAAATTGCTCGGGGCAAGCCTGAAGTTGAACAAACTGAGAGTTGTAGGAAAGGATTCTTGACTTCATGCGGCAAGTACAATACAGGACTGCTCGTCCAGAGATGCATCAAACTCTTGCATGTATGGTGTCTGACCGCGCAACAGAGCAGACTTCGCTGGCCTTGAAGATGGCTTCATAGGCGTTTTGCAGCCGCTCCTGGCCCATGGCTGTAATGCAGGGCTGTGAGGCATGAAGACCGATTTGGCCAGCAAATTGAGACTTAGATTTTGCCCTCTCAAGGTTCAGCCCTTCTTCTTCCCGTCAGGGCTCCAGTGACGAGTCATCGAGATGCTCCACCAGCCGAGGCTCAGCATACATCATGGTGTCTGGGCCTGAGCGCTTGATGCACTTGGGCCGGCTGTGTGCTGAAGGCTAAGCTTGACATCACCATCTTGACAGGAACCCAGAACTCTTCAGAAGCTCAAAGCCAATTTATACCGTGTGCTTTGCGCGTAACCCACAAATTCAGGTTTTCATGCATGGGGAAGACGAGGGGGATGACCGTGACTGACATAGGGCACTGGCTCTCATCCATACGCTTGAAGTCGTCTGCCTGCAGAGGGATCGCTCATTTTTCTCTTCGAAAGGGGGTTCTACCATCACAGTGGCAGTACGTCATGAGAGACAAATGTTCAAAAACGACGTCTGAAAAGAGCAATGCTACAGGTAGAAACCTACGCGTGATTTTCCCATTCGCAGAGCAGGTCATCCTACCGCAGGTGTCAACGTTGACTGCGCCGCCTGGTAGGGCCACGAATCAGGCTTCCAGCTATGCCTTTGCCACGACGTCTTGCAATTAGATACTTTTCAAGATGCATCACCCAAATGTCAGAGCAGAAGAAGCTGCCGTGAGAAGAGCCACTTCAGTCTTGCAGTTGGCGTCAGAACTGTCAGCAGGGCTTCTGAGCTGTAATCTGGGCAGGTCTGTCAGGTCCGGCATGACAGCCCTCATGTCGGTTCACCGCTAAGCGTGCCTTTGTGAGGAGTACAAGCTATACAAAACTGCGTTTTCAACAAAAGATGACCCCTTCAAGCAATTCAAACTGCAACCCCAGCGATTAAATCGAGTCCGCCAAGCGGCTGGGCATCCATTGCGTGACTAATGGCAGCGTATGGATTCGCCTCATCCAGTCGCACCTGCCAATGTCTTGAGGCTCGGGAGAAGGAGAGAGAGAGAGAGAGAGAGAGATTTAGCGACAAAAGAAGAGCTGTGACGACTATCATGCCTAAACTATAGACAGTCCCCGCATGTTCTGGCTGACGACTGCGCCTGTCCTGATTCCCAGACTTCTTACGTGACTTCTTTGGCCCTGTCTGCCTTCTGTCCATGAGGTCCGTTGATCGTCATGCCAACAAAGTTGCCTCGCTCCATCACTTGCTGGAGGACCTGGGAAGTCTGGGTGTCAACAATGAATTCGGCCACATGACCCAGGCGCCGGCATTAATTGCGAAATGATTAGCCCTATATAATATAGTGTAACACTTCCTCTTCTGTTCAGGCTGTAAGCTGCTCTATGACTCTATGTTCCTTCCATTCAAAAAAGGAGGTGCCTTCTCCCAGTCCTCCACGCTCTTCAGGCCACTCATCTCCACACCGTTCCCCGAGATCTGGGCACATGGAGGATGCCAAGCATGGGAGCTGATGTCATGATGCAACTGAGCGCCTGCTCCCTCAGCAGGAAGTGTGGGACTTCTCCGAGCCTGGTTGACAGCTCCTCCAGCGAAACTGCAAAGCACTTCGCGCATCTTCAAGCTGCTTCACCAGGTCAAGCGAGCTCCTCGTAGCGCTGCTGCACGGCCAGTTTGATCTCCGGCGATGCAGCGCGCGAGACATCAACGCCACAGGCGGCAGCAGCAGCTGCTAGCACATTGGCATCAGAAATGTCCTGACTGAGTTGACTTCAGCCCTTGTCCCAAATCCGTGCTTCTGGATCAACAGCGAGACACTCGGCTCCTTGGCCTCTTCAAAATACCATCGTGACAGGGTCCGCTCAAGCTCTTCTTGCTTGCCCTCCGCCTCATTTGTTCAATTTCGAGAGTGCCCGACACCATAAGGTTGCGGATGCGATGAGCACATGCCCAGCTCGTGCCTTTAGCCTAGCCCCATACTTCCCCACTGACTACTGCGAAGATGCCTGCGCGGCTTCGATGAGGCAATGGGCGTCGAACGTGTTAACGACTCGTCGATTGGGATTCAAGTCCTTGGTCTCGCAAGAGCCCGGCTTTTATGCAAGGGCTTGCCTCAGCCTGAAATCCGCTTTTCCATGAGTTCGGACTGGTTCCCATCTCATGCTCACTGATATGAGGAATCTTCTTCGGTGTGGAGCAAATGAGCCTCTAGCTTGTCAGAGCACTGGACCTGAAGGTCTGGCAACTGCCTGCCAAGCCGCGATGCCTGCCTTCAATCCAGCCTTACGCAGTGGATACTCTTCAGAATGCGCATACTCCTGCCAACAGTAGAGGCAATTGTCTTTCCATATGCACATGTTGCAGGTTTTCGGGCAGTCCTTGGTGTAGCCGAACTCTCGCCAAAGGTAGTCATCCAAGCTCTCGCCCTCCTGTGATGATGCTCTCAGGCTGGCAATGCCAAAGCCAAAGCCGGCGCTTTTCCGGCTCTTCGAGCTGTGTAGTCCAGCGTTGCGGTAGCTGCAGAAATCTGAATGTTTTACTTTCCTTCTAAACCCTTGCAACTGTGCGCAAGCTGCAGATCAAACCGCACTGCCTTGGAGACTTCGGGATTGAGAAAAATCGGATGAAAGCGAAGATTGACGTGGTCTTGCCTTGTGTAAGGACACACTGGCATCACTGGCATAGTTTCTACATGCTTCGACATGCTGAGATGCATTGCGTGCTCAATGCGTGCTCAAGTGCTCAGACAAGATGGCCGAAAGCCATCCCCCGAAAGTGCGCCATGGACACAAGCTATCTGCAGATTGGCCAAGCCAACGACCAACTATTTGCAGCCACGTGGCAATGACAAGTTGCGTGCCGCCGCCTCGAGGTTGGTCTGACTGATGAACCTGGGTCCAGTGCTCCCCTGCAAATTGTGTGAACCATCACACGACATGGAATGAAGCCGCACATAAGCCTGCTCTAAATGGTAGGAGTAGTGGACAGGGAGAAGCCAATCCAAAGCCAAAGAAAGCTCACAAGTTTACTCAGGCTTGTCTGCCACACATTGCACTGACAACTGCAGCGAGCATGCTCTTATGGTTTCTAAATGCACTTCTTCATAAGCCTGAGGCACGAGAACGGGCATCGCACATCAGTCAAAATGTCAATCTGGATGTCTGGCTTGCTGTCCAGAACACCTGCATAGTCCATCCGCCAATCTGTGGGAATCAAGTCGAAACCACTAGTCATGGCTACGCGGCTGTAGCTGTCCAGCAGGTTTTAAAGCCCAGCCTCGCGATTGTGGCTTCTCCAAAGGTAAAATCTCCGAAAGCTCCTTTGCACGCAGCCACAAAGCATTGTGGCTTATTCTGCGAGAGACCAGAGACTCATGTCATCTCTCTTTGGAAAAGAACTCGCAGAGAAAATTGATCTTGCATGACCTCACCCAATCTCTCTCGCCCTCCCACAGCCAAGATATGCCAAGATACTGTGAAACGTTCGGAGTTCACAAACTGAATTCGTGCCTCTGGTGACACCATGAACCTCGGTCATGTCTGATATCTTCCATACACTTGCTTTTTCTGAAGCAAATGAAGGACCCCTCGTCCAGCCAAACCCTAGAAAACAATCATGACTTTGAGTCAACACTTACTTGCAGGACATCGAGGATGTAAGGACTGAAGCATACTGAGTCGCCATCGGCAGGCTGTGTAAGGTGAGTCGGCTGGAGATCTGTCGATTTAACATGCTCCAAGACTATCGTTTTACCTATGAATCCTCCCCATCAGAACGTTGTTAAACGTCACTTCGTATAGTAGAGCCAGGAAGCAGTATTGATGAAGAAATGCAGCAGCTGGATTTCCGTCAAATCCCGCAACTTTGGTTTTGAGTATAGAGGTTCTTTCAGTGATGTTTCAAGCACAGCAGTTTACACTAGCCACTAGCCGTGCAGTACACTTCCGTGGAGTCCTGACCTGCGGTACTATCTGTGGCAATGTGTGCAAGGCAGATGGATGCCGTCTTTGCATCCTTGTCGCCGCGTTGCTCCTTTCGCGTGATTTTTGCAGCCAAGGTACTGACGGAAGGCTGAGAAACTCTGCCTGCCCCAAAAGTGCACCACGCATTTTCTGAACGCGACTGGCTGCCCTTCACTGCGCTTCTGTCTCAAGGTGCGCGGACTGGCATAGCCAAGGAAGGTGCGTGTGTGGAAAAAGTCTTTCAAGATCTTTCCAGTGTGTGGAACATGGGGAGACGGCACAATGAGAATGCACGCGTTCCTCGTGCGATGAACATTGCCTTGCGACGAAGCTTGCTTACAACGTCACTGACCTTCATGCATTTGTGTAAGAGTTTTGGTCCAATCGTCTTCCCTCCCATGCTCCCCCAAGTCCATCCAACTCCAGCAGTCTTCATTTTCAGCTAAACACTTCCTTCGTGCTTGCATGTGCTTGTCTAGACTGTCCAGCAAGATGGGTCTGTCTCAGAGAGCCCTGGCATGCTGCAATCTGATGAGCAAACTGATAAGGTGGGCTAAACGAAGGAGCAGCGGAGCCTCATGGTAATGTTGAGGTAACTCTCATCCATCATGGCATTCCAGCCCTTATTGACCGCTGTACTCTCCATGCCTTAGCTGAGGACAGAAAGTCCAGGCATGCAAAAGCAAGAACACGCTAAAACCCATCAAAGTGCCTACTACGGATCCGGCTGACCCACCATACGCAGCATGGATCAAGCTTTTCTGGGCTCAAGCGCAGTCGTAGTGTAATTCTGCTTGCAAGCGAGCTGCCAGGAGGAGGCTCGCACAAGGTGTTCCATGGCACATACCAAAAATTGCCTCGCCAGCAAAAGCTGCGCTACGCAAAAGAACCTGGTGTCCCATCCAACAAAACCCTTACCGCCTCGAAAATTCCACCTTCCACTTCATCAACAAACTGCCATGCTACCAGCCGGCGCCAGGACAGATGCGTTCGCCTTTACTAGCCCGTGCTTGCAAGCGTGTTTGATTCATGCATCATCCAAAAAAATGATGGAAACTCCCATTGAAAGTGTTTCCTTCTCTGTTCCTCTGGTGCCAACTCTTCCTCATCAGACATACTGGGATGCCCATCCATAACAACGAACATCCACGAGTTTGTAACCTGTACAGCAATAGATGTGATACAGTGACACGGTCTGGCGGCAGAAAGTGCTCCAGGCCGTTAGCTGGTTTCGCCAAGGCACAATAGTTGAACCGGGCAACCCCAGGTTCCAAGCTGTTTAAGACCTCACCAGCGGCGCACAGCTAATCAAGTGAGATGGATTGAAACCTATCGGTACGACTACGTTAGCGGGCCCTTAGCCGTTAGCTGGGATTCGGACAGCATGTCGACAAGATTTCAATGCACCGCCTGCAGGCAGATCAGGCAGCCAGCAGTCTCTGAGAACATTTTCGCAAAACCCTCACATGGCAAAGACTTCAAAATCCTCCGCAATTCCGCAATGCAACAAGTTCACAACTTCTGCAAATGGATGCCTGTGTAAATTTGCGCGAAAGCACCCATTTGGAGAATCATCGCGTCGGGGTCTGAGAACTCGGCCATTGCCGTCTCCCCAACCTCTGCACGGAAGTGCATGCAACACATGCCTCAAGTCCCCAAGCCTCACTAGAACTGCTTGGGAAATGACTGCGTCAACCTTTCAGCACGCCGGACCAAACCCTACACTCTCAGGTGCCGAAAGGCCTCGTTCATCATCATTAGACCAGCCCCTGCCGGCTCGGATTGGAATTCACCAGTTGCTTCACTGGCATACATCTCCTTCAAGCACCGCCAAAATTTCCGAGGCTTGGCAGAAAAATGCATGGACTTGCTTGCTGTTGGGCACTCTTCCCCAAAAGTCAAGCATGGGCCGAATTGCCAAACATCGAGGCCGCGGCCATGCGCGAGATAAGACGTGATGGTTGGCTATTCAAGAGATACAGGCAAGCCCTAAGGCCTACAGCCTTCACAAGAACCTGCGTCCTCCTTCATGAAAGAACATGCGCTTCTGGTAGCTTCTTCCTGACCTACACACGCCGACACCATCTTCACTCTGCAGAGGAACTGTCCTTGTGAAGGAGGGTCACAAAATTGGAGTCTACATGCCAGGGAAGCCAATAGTCGCCTGGCCTAAGTAATGCGAAGTCAACTCTCTAAGCCACTCCCACGTGAACCCCAGCTCAGGCCGTTGCCCATCACTGCTCGAATCAACAAGTGTTGCAGCGCCTCTCAGATGCTGCTACAATCGGTGTGCAACACGTCTTGTGCCGTGCCGATTTCTGGTCACTTAAAGTGCATCTTCAAAAAGACCCCCACACTTCTGTCAACCGAGAAATCAAACAGCATGAGGTGCAGGCAAGAGTAGGCAAGGAGCCTCGCGTCTGAGCGAAGCTGGAATCCGAAGCGGACTTAACGGGAGCAGTGGGGGTTCGCATAGATGCCATGCCGTCTGCTGCATGCCCAGCGCTCTTGACGGGTGTGGTGTGGGTGCGCATGGACGCCAGCCCATCTCCAGCGTGCCCAGCGCTCTTCACGGGAGTGGTGTGGGTTCGCATGGATGCCAGCCCATCTCCAGCATGCCCGGCGCTCTTGACGGGAGTGGTGTGGGTTCGCATGGACGCCAGTCCATCTCCAGCATGCCCGGCGCTTTTGACGGGAGTGGTGTGGGTTCGCA